TTAAACATGAAGAGTTACCGCTAGGTCAAGAACCGAATTCAACATACGCCCTAAAACTACTAGAATTCATCATGCACCCTTAACATATGAAAAGTGCCATATTTTCTTCTAATATAACTTGGAAAATAGAAAATTAGGCTCTGCAAACGCACACATGAATTAAGAAAGGCCATTGTTTATCCAATTCATAAATCTATTCCAACTAAAACGCCTATAAAGAAAAAAACATAGACACATCAACTAAATCAAAACACAGGCATATAGAGATTTAGAGATTACCTCAGGCTTTGTGAACCTACCAAGCTCGCTAGTGAGAGGCTTTTTACTCTCCATCTTCTCCAGCATATCATTCGCAATCCCATGCAACTCCGGCGACCCCAAATCTAAAGTAATAATACTTAAATAAAAAAAAGTAGAGACAACTGAAAAAAAAAAAAAAACGGAATTGAACTCAAATCAAACTTAATTGGGTGTGTTGTACCTTATTGTGTGTACTCACAGCATGTGTGGTGAGTCTGGTGCTGATTGGAGGCGGTAGAAAAGAAAAAAAAGGTTGAAGAGGTGGTTGAGAAAAGCAAGGAGCAGAGAGAGAGAGGAAGACATAAAGGTGGAGGTGAGAGAGACAGATAGGAAAAAAACCTGGATCTGAATTTTGTGTCGTTAGTTGATTGGCAGTGTTAGGGATGATGAGAGAGAGGATGTGTAAATTGGGGGACGCTGGGTCTCTTAGAAAGGGAGATGCTGGAGAGAAGATTATGGCAGAGATCTGGAATTGTAAATGGATTGAGGGATTTGAGAGTCAATTTGGGGAATACAATATTCGGGAGTCACATGAGATAGATAAGAGCATATAAAATGGGAAGTTTTTCTCTACAGAGAATATAAAGAGATCTTGAGGGATTAAAAAATTTAAAATTTTAGTCGGGATAAAAATTTTGGGAGCTAATCTTGTGCGTTGAATCAACAATTTTAAAATGATCTAATATGTTAATAGCTTGAGATAAGTTAGGGTAACATAGTCCATTGGATGATACTTTATTTTATCTTTAAACGATCTAAGCCGCTTTTTGTCTTTGAATTCAAAAACAACTTTATTTTATTATATAGATATACACGATACTCAATAGAGCATTATGCGAGATGATTCTAGCGATAATAATTTATCCTTTTCATAGACTATGGAGTTTCAAACAAGCTTACCCACACCTTTTTCAATTGAATAGGCGTCCCTTGCTTGCACAGAAATGGCTCCATATCATATGTAAACTAGTCAAGAGGACTATTTTTAAATTCCATCTTTTTCTGTTGAAATGATTCCAGTCCTTGCATAGTCATATTCTTCAATTTTTTGACCTCGACATTTGATAAATTGGTAAAACAATGCCCAACATCGCCTCACCAAAGCTTAGAAATCTTTTGAAACCCTGCATGACTTTGTTGGATCCAAGGAAAAATCTGCTTGTGATTTGAATTGCTTTTTGATAGACATAGGGGGCGAGTCCCTTTCAAATCCACCAACAACTCAACAAGTTTATCAAAACTCCTCTTCACCAAGGACGTTAGCGTCTTCCTGCCACGTCATTTGACAAACAGCTGGTTGCCTTCTCGTCATTGCAGCCAAGGGAAGAATGCAATGGAGCATAGATTATCCACCTACGCTGAATAGACAAAAGAGAGACGGAGATAGAGTGAGAAGAGAAGAGAGAGATAAGAATTGACAAAAGAGACGAGAATAGGAGGAAAATTTATCTCATTAATAAGGCGGTGGAGGTAAGGAAGATAATGGGCATTTTTGACATAAAAAATGTCAAAAGTAGTAATTGTAGACCATGGGCTTGATATTTTAAAAGGTGCCCTTGAGGCCTTAAAAAACTTGTGCTTAGACCTATTGACAAAAAAGATTTGGACATTTTACTTTTCACCAATTTTCCCTTTAAACAACCCCTATGAATGACTTCAACAAGATAGTACTGTACCTTTGGAAGATTCAATTGCTTTTATTCTTCTTTATTTCAGATACAAGAGGAATTTATTTCTAGGCTCTCTTTGGCATTGGTAAATTTATACTTTAGAATGACTCTAGACAAAACAAACTATAATGAATAACTGCAAATTCTCAGCAAATGTCTTATCTATTTTTTTTTTTTTTGTGGGAAAACTAACGTTTCCCCCCTTGCATCTTGCTTTGGTGGTTTGTAGTGCACCTCATGTCATACAAATTCTTTATATGGGCATAAAATAAGCCACAATCATGTTACCCTGTCTATATCTGTGTAATGCCCCAGGATCCACCTTGGTGGGCATTAACTATCTAATAAATATTCAACCACGAGAGCATCTACAAACATCCATTAGATCAAGAAATAATGCCAATACATTCATCCATTGAATAAATAAACTAAACCAATTCCTAGAAAACATAATTAAAACTCTCAATTTCAAGCTTAAATAATATCTCTGAGTGGATAAAAAAAATGAAATTCTTAACATTGTCTCATAGTCACTTTTAGAATTTAAACTAAAATAGAGAATTAGCTCTAAACATCTACTCTTGGATTCACCTCATGATCCGCTCCAAGATCCCAATCAGTTTGCTCACCTATCTCAAGATTCTCCTCAATCCTAAAATTTACAAAAAAAAAAATATTTATCACGTAAGAGGAGCAAAACGCCTAGTAGAGAAACCCTCTCAAACCCAACAAGGTTTTGAAAACATAAAACAGGTAAGTCTCGTTTAGCAAGATAATATACATAATTTTAAAGTAAAATAGTGACAATAAAGAGATTTTAAGTTTACGGTAAGCATGATAATAATTCATGAATAAACAATTTCATCTCTCAACAAAATAATTCAACACAATCAACATATCTTGTCCCATGTATATTTGCAGGTTGGTGAACATGAATCCACATATCGAGAATATTTTGGTCTATACACAAGCACCCATTCAACAATACAGTCATTGCAAGGTTGACACGTTTTTAAGAAGCGCGTATATTGACTCATCAACATTGACGTAACTTCCCAGGAATAATATATTAACTCTCGACTTTGATCATCATGAGCGAATAGTGGTTTGGTTCTCGCAAGACACTAACCCCACTACAAGTGTCAGAAAACCTTCAAACTCCTCAAGGTAAGAAACTTATCTAATCCCTCAAGGTAAGAAACTCATCTATCCCCTCTACAATACCCGGTCGATTGCAACCCACATTAATCACACCCACCATACAAAGGATATTTTCCACAATGTTTCCATAAAACCTAACCTTCATCATGAATCATAGGTTTATATCCTCTCAAAAAGAATAATTCAAGAAAAAATGCAAGAGATCTTTGAAAAAGATATTTACATTGTTCATAACAAAAGTCTAAAGTTTTAGAAATCAAGAACAAACAAGTTTTGGTATTAAACATGCGTAGTTTAGGTTGCATGTCAATAACTAGGGTTTTTGATTTAAGCACGACTATTTTGAGTGTAAAACATATGTTTTTTTTTTCAAGAAAGCAATTCCATGCAAGTTGAACAAGAATTTCCAAGAATTATTTCTCTAATATATACATATAAAGATCAGAATCAAAAACATAATACATAGTACTCCTAGCCTCGATATTAGATTTGAGAACAAAACCCTACCTTTAATCCATAGTTTTGGTGGAAACCCTACGCTTGATTCGTGTCCCACGTGGAAATACCTCCAAATCCTTGTGTTTCATCCTCCTCTCACACACTCTAGGGTTTTTTAGGATTCTAAACTGATAAACTATGATGCACGGACACCGATACTCTTTGCACACTCTCGGACATGTGTCCGATACTCTTTTATCCGTGTCTATAATTAAATGATAAATTTTTAATTTCGAATGCGTGGCGGACACTTCTTTGGTGACGTATCCGACACTTTTTTAGAACGTGTCTATAACACTGAACAATCGGCATATATTGAAATGTGATTAACAAAGATTAAAATTTGAGAACATATAATTACTAATACTAGACATATTAAAGTTATACTCCAATTATAATAATAAAAATAAAAGATGCGTAAAAGTTTAAAAGTAAAAAGAATTGAGAAAATTAAAGCAATTATTTAAATTATATATTAGGTATACATTGTCTACAAAAAAAAAATTGATGATTATTGACTATAATGAAGATGTTTTAGCCTAAAAATTTACACAGATGACTAGACATTAAGTTTACTTATCATAAAATACGGAATTTTTTATGAATTGCATATCATTATCAGTATTTGTAATAAATTATATAATGTTATATATAAAATATAATTTTTTTGTAACGTGTCCCCAACGTGTTCATGTCTGTGTCCTACATTTTTTAGAAATATCGTATCGGTGTGTCTGTATCATGTTGTATCCGTGTCCGTGTTTGTGTCCATGCTTCTTAGCTGATAAAATATGACTAAAAAGGCATCCTTTGGTATTTCAAGGGTCAGCATTCGAATAGGAATCGCGAGTCTGATCGCTGTTAAAATTACACTGACGTTCGAATGGAAGATTGACGTTCAAACGTAATCGTTGAACGTGACCTGGTGTTCGAACGGCTTGAGCTCCTAGTATCTCGATTTTTATTAGACTTTCTGTCAGACACCAAAGTAGTGTGACTAATTGGCGTTTGAACGTGAACCGAATTCCTTGTTTCAGCTTCCAGTCCAGTTTTGACCTACCTAGAAATCGATTTTTAAAATTTTGGTGAGATACACTTTTGTAGCTTACGATATCAGTTTCTACTCTCAAAAATTCAGATTAATCCAAGTTCAAAATGAAAAGTTATGAATAAAACACTAAGGCAGTATCTTGCAATCATCTACAAACTATAACCCAAATATGCTTCCCAACAAGCAAAAACACTCCTAGTACACCATATTTTCTTATTCTTACACTACCTTATTCATTCAAAACATGGTACACTATCCATTTTTATAAATACATGGGAGTTTAAAAACTGTGTCGGAAGTCTCTATTAAGATTGTCAACTATGTTGTGATACTGGTTTTGATTTGAACAATTTTTTTTTTATTTTTTATTTTTTTAAAGCGTATGGGTTTCCTGGTGTAAATGATTTGAGGTACTCAATGGTATTAACATTTTTTCATGTTTTTCCAATATTTGTTTTTACGTATTGATATTAAGAAGCCTCATTATATAACCTTTGCTTGGACAGGTGGAGGAGCATCCCAATGATAAGGAGGGTGGGCAGAGGAAAGCGCGTAGTCGGGGCCGGGGCAAGGGACGCGGACGACCTCAATACCATCACCAGCACCGTGGCAGTCATGCAGGAACTCCCCCGTCCAATAATTTTGTTAATGCTGAGCCGCCAGTCATGGCCAGGCAACCTCCTGGGCCACGCATGCCAGATGGAACTAGAGGATTTTCCATGGGTCGGGGCAAACCAGTTGCTGTTAACATTGGTTAATGACTTTCCAAGATCACCAGCGCAGGTGGTTTTGTGGTATCTGAGTGATTAATTATTGAGGTGGGAAATGTGTCTTCTTTTGTGCAGCATGGAGACTCGCTTTTATAAGAGACTGTCAACTCCACTGTAGTTAAAAGAGCCAACGGTAGCAGTTTAGTTGAATATTTTCTTTTCAATTCGAGTGTTCTGTATTCTAAGGATGGATCCTGCAAAAAAACTCAGGCTTCGATATTTTTCTTTTCTTCGAGGGCTTTGGCAATGTAGAAAGCTTGACCAAGATCTGGGGGGAATATCTTATACCTATAGATGTAAGTGAAAGAGTTGACGTTGCAATAGAACTCTCTCTCTCTCTCTCTCTCTCTCACTATTGATAATTCAATATTCCCTTTCCACTCTGCTACTGATTCCGTTCACTCCTTGGCGAAATATACATCTAGCTGTATTTTTCACTCCAAATCTCTGGATCAGATGCCATGGACACAGAGAGAACAGGGGACTTGTCTCGGCTCTCCCTATGCCCTGTAACTTCTTTGGATTTTATGAATGTCAACTAAGTATCATAAGCAAATTGCTTCCGATTTTATCCACTTCATCTGGCTTTTCTAGTTCCACATAGCCGACAGATTACTTGAGTTGCTTTGCGGCAATTGGTGTTTCCCCAGTTTTTTGTAATATGCCTCCCGCTTCCTTTACAGCAGCGGCAAGTTCTGGAGTTCATGCTCTGCATTACTGTGGCTGTTGGTGCAGAGTTAGCCAATATTTCTTTTTCAGATACTGGCATTGCTGCTTCTCTAGGAAAAGAAGTTCTAGACTTTTCTACAATGTCGAGAGGATCTCTCCAGCCTTGTTAAGTGCATTGATGTTAATGAGCTCAACTGATAGTAGACTAGCAACAATACGCCTTGGTACAAAGTCAAATTCCAAGACATGTTAAAAGTCAGCAATAGCTGAAAGAGGTCTCAGTTTAATATGAGCTCCTAGATTTTCCCATTTTTTCTCCATAGATAAACTTTTGTGATGCATGACCGAGGACAAGCACCATGCCTTTCAACTAGTATCTATAATATAAAATAGGACGGCTTCAATAAGGCCATCTTACGGTCCTAAATTCATTCATCCAACGATTAAGAAATATTTTTTCCTTAATATTTTTCCTTCCAACTAATCAACTATTACAGTTGATTTTTGAACACATAGTTTTGTCAGACATAATAATTAAATGGGAAAAATTTGCCATCAACATCATCTATATAGTGTAACATTTTGATTAAAAAAAAACAAGGGCGTTCTTTAACACATTTATATTGAATATAATTAATTTTAATTATTTAATTCATTATCTCAAACTAACATATCTTACACATATCTTGAATTCAAAGTTCAAGACTCTTTTTTTGTCTCTTAAGAAAATCCAACGTTAATATATTCTTATAATTAATAAATTTTTAATAATTTGTACTAATTAAAAAAAATATTTTATAAACGATATTTGCAGATCTTTTTTTTTTTTATAGAAAATATTTTGGTGATATGCTTTTTGATAAATTAGATTTTTAGTCTGTATTATGACTCGATTTTGATTACATGTATATACATTAATGTTTTTTTAAGTCAATTCTATTATATTTCGTGGATTTATCTATAATATCTATAATATAACTCATCCAACAGCCACCAACATCTATAATATAAAATAGGGCGACTTTAATAAGCCCATCCTATGGTCTTAAATTCATTCATTCAAAGGCCAAGAAATTATTTTTTTTTCTTAATATTTTTCCTTCCAAGCGGTCAACTATTACAGTTGATTTTCGAATATAAAATTTTCTCTGACATAATAATTAAATGAGTCAAATTTGTCATCAACATCATCTATATAGTGTAGCATTTTGAATTTTTATAAAACATAATGATAACATTTTGATTAAAAAATCTCATCAGTTTAATAGATAAAAAAAAGGGCGGTGCTTAACACATTTATATTGAATATAATTAATTTTAATTTTAGTTATTTAATTCATTATCTCATCTTGAATTCAAAGTTCAAGACTATTTTTTTTTCACTTAAGAAAATCCAACGCTAATATATTCTTATAATTAATAATTTGTACTAATTAAAAAAATAATATTTTACAAATGATATTTAAAGATCTTTTTTTGATAGAAAATATTTTGTGATATGCTTTTTGACAAATTAGATCTTTAGTCTGTATGAGATTTGACTCGATTTTAATTACATGTATATAAATTAATATTCGATTTTGATTATATGTATATAAATTAATATTTTTTAAGTCAATTTTATTATATTTCGTGGATTTATCTATAATATCTATAATATAACTCATCCAACTGCCACCAACATCCATAATATAAAATAGGGTGGCTTCAATAAGCCTATCTTACGATCCTAAATTCATTTATTCAATGGTCAAGAAATTATTATTTTTTCCTTAATATTTTTCCTTCCAACCGGTCAACTATTACAGTTGATTTTCGATCACAGAATTTTCTTTGACATAATAATTAAATGGGTCAAATATGCCATTAACATCATCTATATAGTGTAACATTTTGAATTTTTTATAAAACACAATGATAACATTTTAATTAAAAAAACTTATCAGTTTAATAGATAAAAAAAAAATAGCAAGGGTGTTGCTTAACACATTTATATTAAATATAATTAATTTTAATTTTAGTTATTTAATTAATTATCTTAAACTAACATGTCTTACAAATATCTTGAATCTAAAGTTCAAGACTAATTTTTTTTATCTCTTAAGAAAATCCAACGCTAATATATTCTTATAATTAATAATTTTGTAATAATTTGTACTAATTAAAAAAATAATATTTTATAAATGGTATTTGTAAGAAACCTTCACGAGAAAAAGGTCGTCCACTTGGGATCACCTAAGGGTTTAACGGCTTGTTGCATATGCTAAATGCAATCGTGAAATTTACGAAAACGATTTTGTTTTATTATTTATTTTTATTACTAGGCACTAGTAATGTTTTGGTTGTGGGGTGTGATTAACCCTAAATAACGTGTTAATGAATTAGGTTTTTAGGTTAAATGTGTGAGTGAATTACGTTAAAATAACTAAGTTATGTGAAATTAGGGTTAATGTGTAAGTTTGAAATCTTGTAGGGTTTTGTGTGGAATTATGCAAATTAAGGAGGAATGAAGTGTAAAAGAAAAATTAGGCAGGGGAGGCAGGTGTAATTACCATAAGAATACATCAAGCAAGGATGCTGCCTAGCAAGGGAAAATCAGAGAAATCCCACTATCTGGACGGTGCCTTAACTGCCTTACTTCTTTCTCCTCACCCCATTGGTCCAGTGATGTTGCAAAGTCTTCCTATTTGTTCAGCTAAAGTTCTACCGCCTCAAGACCCTCTAGTTCCTATAAATAGCCATTCCCAGCTTCAGTTCAGAGATTTGCCTAGAGTTCAATCCAGAAGGTGAGGAAGGAGAGAAAAACATAAACAGTGGAGTGAGGCCCAAGCAGAATCATTTTCCAGCCATATTTCTGTTACTTCTACATTTCTATTTATCCTTTTTACTTGGAGGGTTGAACCTTTTCCACTTCTATGCCCTAACCGGTAAGAAGAGTGGCAGGCTTCCACCTTTCTCTCTCTTCTTCATTAATGCATTGGCCTCCAAAGTCCAACCTTAAGTGTAGGGAAACATGTATGTGAATATGTCAAGGGGACAAGTGGGAGAATCATAGGTGGGACCCCCAAGTGGCAGAGCTTGAGTTGTAGGTGTCTGGTATTTTTGGGCAAAACCTTGCATAAAGTCGATGCAAACCTTCTAGAAGGTTTTGGCAGAGGTAGAGGAAAAAGCTGTTCAGTATGCCTAACCTCCCGGAAGGTCGATGCAAATCTTCTGGAAGGTCTTCTTCCAGTGTGCAAAACCTTTCGAAAGGTTTTGGAAAGGGCATAGGTAGCTCAATGTGCAAACCTTCCAGAAGGTTTATGACTAAACCTTCCAGAAGGTTTTCTCTAGATTTTCCTTTTTCTTGATTTCTTCACCTTCCAAGCCTCCCTTTAAGACACCCCTCATCTCCATTGACTTTGAACACTACGATGGGGGCTTAACTTAAGCATTTCCAACTCTTTACCTACAATCACACAGCAACATCATTAATTGTTTACTTAATTGCATTTCCACCACAAAAGCAAGTATAAAAGGGTATAAAAACTGACATAATGTGCAATGTGTTGTGCTAATCAACAAGTTACCAGGATTACCTCCACATCAGTATGTAGACTTCACCATTGAGTTACAACCTGACGCATCCCCTATTTCTATAACACCGTATAGGATGACACCTACAGAGTTATAAGAACTTAAAATCCAATTACAAGATTTTTTGGACAAGGGTTTCATTAGATCGGCTACCTCACCTTTGGGCACTTTGGTATTATTTACTATGAAGAAGGACAAGACCCTTATACTTTATATAGACTACCGGCAGTTGAATCGGGTTACCATCAAGAACAGGTACCCATTGCCGCATATAGATGACTTGTTTGATCAACTGAGAGGGGCACGAGTCTATTCCAAGATAGATCTACACACTGGATACCATTAGTTAAGGATTAGGGAGGTCGATATCCCTAAGACAGTGTTTGGGATGCGATACGAGCATTTCAAGTTCACAGTTCTGCAATTTGGATTGACAAATCTCGTGGACTATATGCATAGGGTGTTCCAACCCTATCTTGATCAGTTCATCATAGTTTTCATTGATGACATTCTTATCTACTCCAAGTATGAGGAGGAGCATTTAGGTCACTTGAGGATTATTCTCCAGATCTTGAGAGACCACCAGTTGTACGTAAAGTTCAGCAAGTGTGAATTTTGGCTGACAAAATTGAAATTTTTAGGACACGTGGTGGTGTTGGCTTTGGGCGTGTCAGTGGAATCGGAGAAGGTTGAGGCAGTTATGACTTGGGAGAGGCCTAAATTAGTCTTCAAGATACGCTATT